CTCCGGGAGTTTTTTAAATAAGGCTAGTTCCGAGGTTAAGATACTAATGGTTCCGTTCACTTTAATAATCAGATCGTGGATCATTTTCCAATAATTAATTAACTTGGGGCAAAACCACCAGATATGAGCCATATTGCCCACTCCCCCACAGTCTCTCCAACACCGGTCAGAATACATATTGTTCATGTTATGTAATCTAGACGGAGCCAGGTACCAGCGATATAAGATTTTATAATGATTTTCAAAATGGTCGGTGCAGTACGAAATGCCTTTCAAACCTGTAAAGAAACCGAACCATTCTACTAAATCGTACTGGGCACCCAACTCCGTCTCCCATGACAGCATATGTTTTAATTTAACTAAGGGCTTGGCATTATGAGATAAGTAACATAAGGATATAATACCTTTACTAGCGGGGCTGTATAAAATAACTTTCTCTAAAGGAGATATCTCAAGTGATTTATAGTTTTTATCTGTTTCAGGTACCTGGTATAGTTCTTTCAATTTATCAATGATTATCATACATTCCAGTTCACATGCATTCGACAATCCATACTTAAGCTTCAATTTTTCCAAAGAAAGAATAGCATTGCCATAGAAAAAATTGTCCAGATTAGTTATAGAGCAATCCTTTAATAATTCTATTTTTAAGGATGGTATATGATCTTTCAATAATTCAATAGGCATTGCTCTATATAATCTGGGAGACTGGTCGTTTTTAAAAACAATGTCCCAGGCCTTAAGCGTAGTCCTGGTGGATAAAAATAATTTTGTAATTCCAGGTCTTTTCTTGGGATTTAACCAAGGTAATTCTAATAGCCTAACCGGTGAAATTTTTGATTCCTCTATCTCCATCCATCTGGGTTTATCATCCTGGTTGTTAAAGCTCACTACCACTGCAGCGTTAGTGGCGAAATAATATTTGCGGATATCGGGGACACCGATACCGCCGTTCGATTTATGGTGCTGCAGGGAAGTGAGCCTCACTCGGGCAGGCTTGTTCCCCCATATAAATTTCAACATCGTCGAATGAACTTTATTAAAAAATGATAATGGAATGGACAGAGGAATGGTCCTAAAAAAATATAAAATTTTTGGGAGTATCGTCATTTTAATAGATGCGACCCTCCCCAGCCATGAAAGCTCCATCCCACCCCATCTCTCCATCTCTTTTTGTAGGTCTGACCATGCTTTCCTCAGGTTGTGATTGTGCATATTAACCAAATTTTTGCATAAATTAATGCCAAGATATTCCATATAATCAGTTCTCCAATCAAATAAATATGATTTCTTAAGGGCAATGGTTTCCAAATTGTTTAAATGAAACGGAAGGGCTTGAGTTTTGGACTCATTTAATTTGTAATACGATATCTCACCGAATTGAGTTAAAATATCCTTGAGGTGTCTCAAAGATTCTTTTGGGTTTTTAATAGCTAGGATTATATCATCTGCAAACAAACCAATTTTGTGAACGGATTCTTTAACCGCAATTCCTACAATTTGTGGGGTTGTCCTAATCAGTTCTGCCAGGGGTTCTATCGCTAAAACAAACAAAATTGGAGATAAAGGGCACCCCTGTCTCGTCCCGTTGGTTAGAGAAAAAGTTTTGGATGTGAAGCCAGAAGCTGAGACATGGGCAGAGGGTGCGCAATATAACGCCTTAATTGCTGTGATAAATGATGATGGTATGTTGAACCTATCTAATGTTCTCCATAAATATCCCCAATGTATCCTGTCAAACGCTTTTTCTGCGTCTAGAGATAGAAGCAAAGAAGGCGTTTTGGTCATATTGATGTGCTGAATCAAGTTTATAAATCTTCTAGTTCCGTCTGGCGCCTGTCTATTCTGCACAAAACCTACTTGATCTTTATTAATTAACAATGGGATTAGTTTGGTTAATCTATTAGCGAGAACCTTAGAATAAATCTTTGAATCATTATTAATCAGAGAAATGGGCCTAAAGTTAGGGCATCTATCAGGAGTTTTTCCCGGCTTTGGCAAAGTGACTATTCGTGCGCACAAGGACTCCTCTGGCATCTTTCCCTCTGACTTATAGGAATTGAACAATTTAGTCATATGGGGAATTAAAATTTCTGGAAAAGTTTTATAATATAAAATAGTTAATCCGTCGGGACCAGGGGCTTTTCCAGATGGCATAAGTTTAATTGCCTCAGCTATCTCTGCTGCTGATATTTCACATTCTAAGCTTTCTAAATGTACTGGAGACAACCGAGGCAATGACACTCTGTCTAAGAATTTATCAATTATTGTTGTAGAAGGCTGGGGGAGGTCCAAATTACATTCTAAATTATAAAGTTTACTATAATACTCTGCGAACATATCACTAATTTTAGTTGGATGAAACACTTTTTGCCCCTGATCATCAATTAAATATGCTATTTTTGATTGGGCATTCACATGCCGGAGTTTGGATGCCAAAAGAGTTGAGGCCCTGTTGCCTTTTAAGTAAAATGTTTTCCTGAGACGTCTCACCATGAAAGATGTACGATCTAAATTAATTTTGTTGATTTTAGCCTTAATTTCTCCTATCATTGCTGATAGGGAGGGCGATGGACCAAATTTATTAGCTTGGTTCAAATTATACAGTTCTTTTTCCAATGTTCTTAAATTATTGCTATTAATTCTCTTCAGGTAAGACGCTCTAGAAATAAAATGACCTCTTAACACAGCCTTATGCGCATTCCAAGTCACCTCGCCAGGAACCTCGGGCGAGGCATTCTCCGAAAAATAATCACACAAAGCTTTCTCCGTCAGTGACTTATTCACAACATCATTTAACAAATAATCACCTAATTTCCAAGTTCTGTTAGGGGCTGATGAAACAATTTCGTCAATATGCATTATGATTGGAGCATGGTCGGACCAGTTAATGTTTAAGATATCAGATTTCAAGATGTGAGGAATTAAAGCACCCTGGACCATAAACCGGTCCAGCCTGGAATACATATTTTTAGAGACAGAATAATACGTAAAATCTCTTTCATTCTCATGCAACAGTCTCCAAGGAACGTATAAGCCACATTCAATCATATATCTGGAGCATTTATACGCTAATCTGTCACTGTCCCCTCTAAGCTGTCGATCACGGTCTTCCCTAGCGTTATCCAACTCTCCATCCATCACAAAATTCGTGTCACCACACATTACCAAGTTGCCTCTCACATTCTCATTCACTAAGTCCATCAATTTCCTAAAAAAACTGCAACTGACCGGTGTTTGGAAAATACATGTTCACAATAGTATATTCAATAGTATTGAGTGATCCTATCCATATTAAATACCTCCCGTCATCGTCCGTTATAACTTTGTTTGTCAAGCATGCTACATTCCTGTGAAAAAAAATCGAAGTACCTCTAGACTTGGATTTATAAGTGCAATGGTATTGAACTGGGAAAAGCTTTGACATGATTTTATGGTCTTTATCATCTTTAAAATGTGTTTCCTGTACACAAATCACATCTGATTCGTTGGATTTTGCTTCTTTGAATAATAATCGTCTCTTGTGGGCGGTGTTCAGGCCTCTCACGTTAAATGACATATATTTTAAGACCATGGTTTATAGAACAGTAATAACTGATAAAGGGTAAAGGAACATTCAATCTTGTGAGAGTCCCAGCCACCACCTTCCAAGAGAGAAACATGCAAGTCCAACAAAGCTATTAAAGCAAACTCAAGCTGTGTGCTTGTGTGTACAGGAATAATGAGTAAACAGATGATTACAATTTGCTGATGCCACGTATTATGCATTTTTGTATGAAGCATTGCAGTGTTTCGTGGTCTAAAAACATTTCTACTGAACTTTAAATGATGAATGGACAAAAAATATAAAAAAATAAAAAAGGGGAACAAAAAACTTGGATATATACCCCTATCAGGGGTGAAACAAAAACAGTGAAAGAGGGCCATGAGGGAGAACAAAAAAAGTTTCTCCATCTCAGGGTGTTAGGCCCAGGTTGGGGGGAGAGAAGGCTACTGGGTGCAGGGGGAGCTAATGTAGGTAGTAAAAAAACAAAAAGCAACTTTTTAAATATGACAATTGAAAGGGTAAAAAGCACAGAACAATTAAAAAAAAAAAATATATAAAATAAAATAAAAAAATAATAAAATTAAATAAATATGAAATTATATATAAAAAAAATAAAAAAATATTTTGATTGTATAAGTATAGAAAGTTTTAAATAGAAGGATCAGTTTCTAAAATAAACCGAAAAAGGCACAGGACAAATAACCGTTAGTGGAAGAACTCAGAAGTCTGTCATAAAAAGGAGAAACAGATCAAAATTCAAAGTAATCCCGATAAATCGCCGGACTGGAGCAGGACTCGATGATGACCATAGAAAAGGAAGACTATGTCTCTTTGAGCTGGGATCTCAGGAAGTGTCTGATTTGCTTCTCTTGCTGGCCTGAACAGGAGTAGATGGCGAGAGTCTATGAGGCGAAACCCGACGTCCATTCATAGTATTGATGAGTTCCATTCCTTCTTCAGGCAAAGTGACTATAAAATTCCGACCATCCATGCGGAAAAGGACTTTAACCGGGAATCCCCATCTATATCTTATCCCTCTTCTTCTTAGCTCCGCAGTGAAAAGTTGAAATTCCCTGCGTCGCTTCATTGTTTGAGCAGAAAAGTCTTGAAAGACCTTCATGCTGCTGTAATCTCCTGTGAGACCTGACGTGCGTACTGCACCTAGAAATTCTTCTTTAATGTGATAGTAGTGGAATCTCACTATCACGTCTTTGGGTGCAGCTGGAGGAGCATTGCCGGGTTTGGGCAATCTGTGGATGCGATCCAGTAATAGATCCGTATTTTTTGCGTTTGGAAGAGCTGACTTCACCATTGTCTGGAAATAGCTTTGTAATTCCTGGGATTCGATATTATCAGGGATCCCCCTGATCCTTAGGTTATTACGCCTACTTCTATCTTCAGCGTCGGCAAGCTTTTCTGCTTGTTGGTGCACTTGCTTTTGGAGCTCTTTTACGGTTTCAACCAAATCCAGATGAGATTGCTCTTGAGAATGCAATTTATTCTCTATTATTTCTGTACGCTGATTAATGCCCTCCATGGCTCCATATAATGTGTCAAAGTCATTTTTAAAGTCATTTTTCAAATCAACTCTCAAATCTTTAATAAGTTGAATTATCATGCCAGCTGACGGTGGCAGGTCTGCTGCCAATTCAAGTGGCATGTTAGGATTATAGGTCGCAGCTTTAAATGTGGTAGTAGCCATATTGGAGGTGGCAGCGGCCATCTTGGAAGTGGAAAATACAGTATCTGGACTGTCAGCCATCTTTGTTGTGGCAACATAACGTGTTCTCTGTGGTAGTGCAGAGAAGGCACTTTTTTGGAGCACTTCAGCCCCTATTTCCATAAGATTTTCATCTGGGCTTACTGTAGCCCTTGCTGCCCCTTTAAATACTTTGGGTCGGACAGCAGAGGCCCCCCCCGCCGGGACCGACAGCCTGGAGGCTGAGGATCCCGACGGGGAGCGTGACCTCACACTGCCCTCCCCTTTACTAGCAACCCGGTCGCTTTTGTAAGTGAGCGACCGGGCTGCCCTGGAGTGAGACCGCGAGCGGCTTGCAGGGAGGTCCTTGCCGCTCGCGGGAGACACAGCACTGTGCTCCGAGCATGCCGAGTGCTCGGAGCACTCTGAGCCGCACACAGGAGTGCCGGCTAGTGCGGTCGCGGTCCCGCCGCCCTCAGGAAGCTACGGACGGGTCGCGGCCGCACAAGCATAGGTTTTGGGGAGGGAGACCGGGCGGGAGACCGGGAGGGAGGTAGGGAGGGATTTCCCCGACGCCACCAACGATAGTTTAAGCGGCGAAACAAGCCGCGAGGAGGATCTGGAAGCAGGGGAGCGAGCCTGGGAACCCTTACTCACCCCAGCCGCTCCTGCTTCCATTTTCTTCGTCCCAGGAACGGATTTTTCTGTTTTCTTTTGCTTCTGCATGATCAGTGCTAAGTTGACTTTTTGTATTTTCAATTAAAATTGGTACATTCAGATTAGAATTGTCACTTTAGGAACAAAATTGTCCCCCTTGTCCAGGAGCCTCTCTATAACGTGGCCATCTAAGATGGTGGCCAAGACACGCCCCCCCTCACCATGTGCTTCTGATACAGAAAATGATGGCCACCCAGTAACTCCACACTATGTCCCCAGATGGTTCTTAAAAGGGCTAGCAGCAGCACAACACAAATCCATTATGCCCAAATCATGTCTTAAAGGGCAATACATCCCAGGGGCCATAGTCACATGGCAGGAGGCTGGCAACCAGGCTTCTCCAGTGCATAGTGGCGAGGTTGGTTCCACCACAGGAACTCACTGACGCCACACACTCGAACACATTAACTCCAACACCCTCCCACCATGCCACTATCCTGCGACTACAGGGTCAACTACACGACCTTGAATTAGCCAAGTCAACGCTAATGCTGAGAAGAATGAAACATGGCTTCTTTGCCACAGGCAAAAAGGCAGGAGCCAAATTAGCCTCCCAGCTCAAGGAACGTTCCAGAGCCGCAAAAATATCGCACCTCGAGAATGCCAAAGGGGAAAAAATACTAGGCCCACAACACATAGCTTACATGTTCGCCAATTATTATAGTAACCTTTATAATCTCAATAAAGACCCACATGTACCAACTTCTTCCGCTACTGAAATAGATGGGTTCCTATCTAACCTCAAACTCCCCTCTATGAGCGAAGAAGCAGAAGAAGCAGAATCTCTCCTCACCCCTTTTAGCCTTGAGGAAATTTCCTCCATAATCGACTCTCTCCCGGCAAACAAAGAGCATGGACCGGATGGTCTACCTAATTCTTATTACCGCACATACCAAACAACTCTAGCCCCCCATTTACTAAACCTTTTCAACCATAACACAGAAAGTGACACTACCAGATGAACTGCTGCTGGCCCACATCTCAACGCTGCCTAAGCCAGGGAAGTCACCCACAGAGTAACAATTTCAGGCCCACTTCCCTACTCAATTGCGACACAAAAATATATGCTAAACTTCTCAGCAATAGACTGGCCCGATTCCTGCCCAGACTAATAAACAATGACCAAACTGGCTTTATCAAAGGCAGACAAGGGTCAGACAACTCCAGGAAAGTGTTGAATCTCATAGCCGAGCTGGAGAAAAATAAGGGTCATGGCCTTTTCTTGGTGCTTGACGCAGAAAAGGCCTTTGACAGGCTTAACTGGGTATATAT